GCTTTCACTAATGCAGCACCCTCTCTCCAAAGCCAAAGCCTGTCCTGGCCACCGAGGGCGACCACGGGCTCGGCCGCTTCGGGCAGACGCGTATCCGCCCCGCGTGCGGAGGGGCAGCGGCCCTCACCTGTGGCAGGCCGCTCTCGCTCTGAAGGTTTGGGGGAGATTCGTTCCTCGCCCCTTTCCACTCACGGTGGCTCCATGGGTCCGTGGCTGGTGGCAGCGTAACTCCAGTCTCTGCCTCTGTCTCCACATGCCTTCTTCTGGTGCCTTCATGTTTCAAATCTTTTTCACTTTCTCTTATGAGGACATCACCAGTCATTGGATTTAGGGCCCGCACTAAATCCAGGATGACCTGGAGATCTTCAATTTAATTACACATGCAAAGGCACTATTTTCAAATAAAGTCACGTTCAAGGTACCAGGGTTTAAGACGCGAACATATCTTTTTGAAGGCTACAATTCATCCTACTGCAAGGGTTTCTGGGGGTAAATGATTACAAATACGGAGCAGTAAATGCACCTGATAAGCCAGGAACATCTTGACACACCAGATAGAAAGAAGCTATCAAAGACTACAAAGGTCATGTGGTAAGAACTCAGAAGCCAATTTGAAGAGGCTCCCACTGACCAAAAATGAAATAGTTTAAGCATCAATTTAGACAAGAACAACAATATTTTGAAAACAATCAAATATCTTTAAATTCATGAGTTCTAAGTAATTTTTTAAAATTGAATTTGTTACCTTGTAACAGTAACAGGGAACCAACTCGCTATCTGGAAACCTAGATAAATAAAATGAAAGAATCAAGCTTTCATTTTTCTTTTCCTATATGAACTATACCGCTGAGTAACGAAATATTAGATAAGGAATATCAGCTTATGAAAATTATTCCAGTTAACATACGGAAACAAAATGATAGAATTTTGTTTTCACTATTTTGCAACCACCATGAATTAACGGATCTAGGCACTGAACATCATAGCATGTAACATCAAGAAAGGACAAACACCAGACAGCATGTGCCTCCAGATGAAAGAACCTTACCACCTACAGTCCTGCCAAAGGGATCAAACAGGAGCCTGACCAAGCCTCTGGCTCCTATTGCTAATTTGCAGAAAATACAGAGGACAGAGTGACATACTGAACTATACCACAATTCTGCAAACAGATAAATTATAAGCAGAGGAGAATCTATACCTTTGAAAAAAAGATACACAGAGTTTTTAAAAAATGGGCAGACTAAAAGTGTCAAGTGTCAAACGATTAACACTTGGATGACAAAACCATCAAGAAATGCATGAGGGTAACTTTTATCATTCAAAAAGTTCAGGAAAAAGAGTTTAGTAGAGGGAGTGGTCGAGATGTCAATGCTGGTGAGATTGGCAAAGATGACTGACTATTCTAAAAGATCTTTGTTTCCTTAGTGCCTAGGAAAATGTGTGGCATAGAGTTGGAACTCAGTAAATATAAACTGCCATGGTGTGTCCATTCCAATACCTGTGAGTCTCCCTCCAACATTTTTGAGTTGTAAAAAATGCAAAAAGAATATACAAGGT